TTGTTTGACACGGCTTATAGATACTGTCCTTATATGGACGGGTTTTACTGTGGTGCGCGCATCAGCTACTGCCAAGAGAGAAATGCCAAAAGTAGCCTTCATAAAGTAGCAGGTGTGACGCATCCGTTCTATAGAGGTCCCTACTAACTCAGGTCTGACTGTACGTATAATATACACACGTACTCGTACGCACGTACACGTGGTGATAAGAGCCCCGATATGCAGCTGCATTGACCTACCTTACCCACGACCACAAGTAATGACAATAAATAACTGTGTTAAAATATAAGCACACACAGTACATGGTGATAAGAGCCTGGGCCCGTGCGCTGAGGCGGCTGCATCTGACTCACGGCTCAGGCACACCACGAGTCTCGTATTGACCATAAGCCGTCACCGCCACGTACATCTATTGACATACCTCAGCCGGCCGTAGCACGTACTTCTATTGACATAGCCTTCAAGCCACGTACTCTAATTTGTACATGACGTCTCACTCCACGTACTCTACAATTAGACATACTGCTCAACCTCACGTACTCTATATCGACATTATCCTCACCCACGTACTCTATGACATACTTCACCCACTGTGTACTTCTCTTGATTCATATCGCTGCACCGCCACGACCTCTATTGACATACCTCAACCACCACTGGTACTCTATTGACGATCCCTCACCGCACGACGTACTTCTGAATTCGACCTACCTCATCCCCACGTACTCTATTTGAGCATAACCTGCACGCTTACGTACTTTCTATTGACATACCTAGTCAGCCCGCGGTACTCTATTGGACCTACTGCCTCACCACACGGTACATCTATTGAACTATCCTCAACACTACGCACTCTATATGACCCACCATACAACGCCTACTACTCTATTGACATATCCTCACCCACAATACTCTATTGATCATACCGTTCAACTCACACGTACTCATTATTGAGCATATCCTCAACCTCACGTAAAAACTTCTATTGACATACCTCACCCACGTACTCTAGTAGACATACCTCACGCAACGTACTCGTAATTTGGACATAACCTCAGCCGGCACGTATCTCTATTGAACAGCGTTTCGCGTACCTCACCCACTAAACTGCTATTGACATACTCACGCCACAGTACTCTATTGATCCTACCTCAACCACGGTACTCTATGAAGCATACTACGACCGCACGACTACTATTGACATACCTCCAACCACGTACCTATTGACACTTATCCTCGCCCACGTGACTCAGTTATTATTAACCTACCTCACCCACGTACTCTTACCATGACATCACCTCACCCCACGTAGCATCTCTCTCTCTCTCTCTCTCTCTCTCTCTCTGTCCTTCTCTTCCTCTTTCACTCACCTCCCTCTCTTTCTAATCGTCTCTCACGCTGCTACCTACTGCACGCATGAATCACCCACGTTGTGCTGCGACGCATTGCAGAGGATGACATCATGTCGGACGAAGCAGCGAGGGACCTCTCCTCCGATCTCAGCGACGCGACCACAGACAGCAGCGAGGGCGCCACCGTACCGGCCCGGCAGATGCCGTCGACGCCCATGTCCCCGACAGGGACTTCGCAAGGACTTCGCAGACGCCAGGCTGCGTCCGAGCAGGAAAAGATCGCGTGTCTGTGCGGCGCGGGAAACTGCAGGAAGTACTTGTATTGATGTCGTGCGCGCGCGACGCGTAGTGGGCGATTTCTCGCGGGCGCGGGTTAGCGCGTGGCGTCGTCGCTTCTCGCAGCCCCACTTGTTGCATTGAGAAGCTGTTTTGTAAACGCGGCAGGGGACCGGGCAGGGTTACAGTCGTCTCTATGGCAACATCATTCCTTCCTCAGATTACTACATTCGTCAGGTAAATACATTCATACATTCATGTTCCATCGAGCTCCGGGGGAAGTCGAAGTTTATCAAGCTTGCTATAGTTCGAAGATCGATTAAAAATCATGAAGCAAACGCTCGAAATTCGGAGCGATGCTGGTCGAATTGATTGTGGTCGACACTTTATTAATCGATAATTATTGGTGATCGATTTTGTTATCAATGAGAATTATCAATTTTGCAGAACGAATTGAAGAAATGAGGGTAAACTTGGTTATTTGGTATGTGAAGGTTCTGGAACAAGAATGTGGTAGTAGATGAATGGGAAGACGGAGTGAAGCAGTGATAGAGTGGCTTTGATACTCTTTGTATAAACTGTAATTTGAAATAGTTATATGTGTAAACACTTCAACTCAACTGGAGTTTGAATAATTATTACTATGAACTGGAATAAATGGATAAAACACGGACTAAACTAAGTAAATGGTGCAACACCCGCACGGAGAGCCACAGACTATAACGGATCTAATTAGCAGCTAATTACAGTCCGTTGCTAAATACACGGACTGCTAACGGACTGCCTGTTAACAATTATCAAATCTAGAGAATCGACGATTATTATGTTCATAGTACGTCGATTTCCATGACAACCTCATACCAGCAACAGAAGCTTTTGGCAGCAGCCGAATGTTAACAGGTATGCAGCTGCCACGCTCGCAGGGAAATCCACGTACTATGAGCGTAATAACCACGGACTCACGGAGATTTGATAATTGTTAACAGGCAGTCCGTTAGCAGTCCGCGTATTTAGCAACGGACTGTAATTAGCTACTAATTAGATCCGTAATTGTCCGTGGCTCTCCGTACGCGTTTTGCACCATTTATGTGCTTAGTCCGTGTTTTATCCGTTTATTCCAGTTCATAGTGTATTGTATAAATAGCAGCAAGAAGAATTTGTATATTCATACAGTTATTGCATAGTACGACACCGATATATGAATATAGTACAGACAAAATAATAGAAGGCGGTATAGAAAGTCGATTGACATCTACAGATATCAGTACCATTTGTTTGCTTTTTATCGAGGTAGCATTTTAGTCGAGCCATATGTATCCTACGCTAGTTAAATATAGATAGTCAAGTCTAAATCTTTTGTAAATCGGAATATATAAACAGTTTAGGCATGCTGGAGGATGGACCAGCAAGGAGCAAGGGTATTATTTTTCGTTTATGTGCTCTTTGTGTAATGTATCATTGGCACATTATGAACCATTTTTCCTAAAAATGTCTTTAGTTGTACTTTTATGTTTGTACTGGATTTTTATTTTCCTACTAATTCGTTTTATGTTTAGATAAATCGTTTTATTTCTTCTTAGTTCTTGTATATTTTCGCTCTGTATGTGTGAGTGTCGACATTGTCGTAAACAGTGCGGTGTGTGTGTGTGTGTGTGCGTGTGCGTGTGCGTGTGTGCGGGTGCGTGAGTGTGTGCGTGTGCGTGCGGGTGTGGTGTGAGTGCGTGTGTGAGTGTGAGTGTGCGTGTGTGCGTGTGCGCGTCTGTGCGTGTGCGTGCGTGTGTGTAGCAGGTGGTCCATGAGTTTGTCCTGTACTCTACAGCATTCATCGTCATCAAAGATTGTACGAATCGGAAAGGAAAGAAAATAAAGTTTAGTTTTTTTCAAGTACGAGAACGTTCTCCAGTTTTTCTCAATCTTTGCGAATCTTAGTGTATAGGAGAACCACGTCACTGCCCCATCATCACCTGCAGATATGGTCCTCATATTTCCACTGACTGGTATACCCATACTGGATGCAGATGGTGTCATTAGGTTCCTGTGCCATCACCATTGGCCGTCTGCTGCAAAGGGAAATAGTGTTCGCCAGGTTACAGGTGCACGAAACTGCAGGTACTAATCGTGTACCTAACCAATCGAGACCTGTAACCAATTACAAGTGACCTTTATTAACTTGCTTGTTTCCTATCCACCGACAGACCCACCCCCTGATTCGCTTGGGGTTAGCATCCATCCACCAATCGGCCCACCCTCACCCACTAAGAGCTTGTAAGGGTTGTAGCCATGTCATTTTTTATGTCGCGTCTCGCGTGTATTTATGTTAGGGTTTATTGTACATTTCGTAGACATGTTATATTATTTCGCTCGACGATCCAGGAGCGACAGCTATCTTTACGCCTTCCCCCCCCTGTCCTGTGAGGCGACGGCGTGGTGTATGACCTACCATGGCATGCCAGTAGAGCTTCTCCAGGCGTCTGACGTAGAGGTGCGTGGTGCACAGCGCGCGCTCCGGGGCCGCGTTGTACTCTCTGCTACTCGTGAAGCGCAGGCAGTCCCTCACAGGCAAGCACCCAGGACAGGACGATGTCGTCGTCGTCGTCGCCGCGTCTCCTCCGCCGCCGACGCGCCCGGCGCCACCTAGGGGAAGCTGCGGCGGTGTCGCGCGCAGCGTCGCCTGTCCACCGTCGCCCCTGTCGCCGTGCATCGCCTCGTGGGTAGCGCCACCTGGTGTCGCCCTCGTGTCGTGGGTAGCGCCAACTGGTGTCGCCCTCGTGTCGTGGGTAGCGCCACCTGGTGTCGCCCTCGTGTCGTGGGTAGCGCCACCTGGTGTCGCCCTCGTGTCGTGGGTGTTCATGCTGTCCAGCGTGTGCTGGACGTTCTGCAGGCGCGACAGCACCTCTCTGCTCCTGATGAGAGAACGCGCGCGATCACAGACTTCGCTCGTGCGGAAATCGCAGTCGCTTTTTTTTGTTCGAGAATTGACGTTCGCAAGTCAACGGAATTACATCACAATACGACGTTACGCCATTGTAATGTAATTATGGACAAGGATACTTACTAATGTATTAGTAGCTAATAATAGCCCGTGTTATCGTTAAACGTGTCGTCCGTGTATCCGTCGGTGAATACCCTGTTTCGTACTTTCGTGCTTTTCCCCGAGTATTTCATAGTTAACATGCCATGCTGTATGCTCGTGGGGACAGGTTCTGCAGGCTACCTGGACAGATCCACTATTCGTACGGCCTTATGTCCCACCGGAGCACCAAGAGGATAAGAAGCTGTATGGGGCTAGGATAGTGCATGTAGTATATTATATACCAACCAGTATTGATCACTCTCTGATAATTCGGAGCATTGTTTCATCGCCTCCCTGCAGGCAGTGTTATCACTGCCAGCTGCAATCGCGTGGGAACAGTGATTAGAAGCTGTTTCCAGTCTGCGCCACAACATCGCAAATACCACTACTGTATCCTTCGCTTTCTAACGAGAACTTAATTATAATGTATCAACCCGATCTAAGCCGAACATTGAGAATTCTGTCTGTGTCCGAGTGACTGAACGTGGTGCCTGTCAAAATCTCAACGTTTGTTAAACTCATGTGACTGCATCACCAGTTTGCATAAGATAAAGTGCCGAGCACTGTGCATATAAACAAAATCTACCAACGTCTCATGAATTCACCGAAACGATCCGAGTCTGTGAAAAGCTCCACGCTGTTCACGCCTACACAGTGCAGTATCTTACGCATACATACAGTCAGGAGTGTCATAATATACTAGACTAGATAATTATACATTGATGATATTATGACACTCCTGATACGGTTACCGGCATGCATATAAAAATCTACCAACGTCTCGTGAATTCACCGAAACAATCGAGTCTGTAAAAAGCTCCACACCATTCGTGTAGAGTCACAGACACAGACAGACACCCAGTAGAAACACAGTCCCCTCACACATACATACGGTTATCGGCTAGCTCTCCTGAGGGGGAAAAGCAGGTGTGGAGTAGAAACTGAGCAGTCCTGCTGAACTCCGGATCACCGGTCTCAGCAAGGCACTTTACAATCACCGGCACCCCGTGAGCGTCCACCGCTCTCTGTCTGTTCTCGTCTGTAAAGCGTCGATCGAAGGAACAGGACTAAGGCAACACTTATTATGTAAACTGCATCATCTCTACGATTGGTGCTAACAAAATTGCAAAGTAAGCAAAACAGATATAACACATAGCCTTGCTCCAAGTACTCTGTAATTTTTGGAATGCAAAATTATCAGCACATATATGTATCTATCTATTCATCCATCCATCTGTTTATCCATCCATCCGTCCGTCCGTCCGTCTGTCCGTCCAGCCATCCCATCCATCCATCCATCCATTCATCCATCCATCCATCCATCCATTCATATATATCTATCTCTCTCTATATATATTACATGCATGCACGCACGCACGCACGCACACAGACAGCAGTGACTCACCATTGTCATCAACCAGGTGGGCTAGAGTGAGAAGGAATTTCGTCTTGTGCGTGATGTCAGTCTCTGCAGACGGCTCAGCTAGCAGCTGGACTAGAGCTTCCACCACTCCCAGACTGCCAACAAGGATAGACCCTTGACCTGGCAGAACAAGACACTAATTATCCCTATATGAACCATTAAACATAATAATTAAACAACATAAATAAATATTGATATCATCATTGATTCCAATTCACTGGCAGATCGAAGAGAGGCATCGGGATCAAGGCCCATTTCAAATAAATACCAGGTAAAAAGTTAAAGAAATGCAGTGACATTGTAGAATCATTGTAAAACGTAAATGCGGCTTTCATCGCTGGTTTTCCCACAAAGATGGCGCCACTTACAGTAGTCTGTCACGCACGCGTCGATGGCGTTTGCTATGCAGGCAAGGATCTGCATGCTGCGTCCGCTACAGGACAGTTGTGATAGCCGTCTAAAGACACGGCCGAGCTCTTCGAGCGCACCACTGCTGCACATCTGTTCTTGGTTGTGAACTGTAGCGGAAATACGGTAACTTATCATTGCTCAATCATTTATATTATGGAATTTTCACTAATAAACGTACATTAATTAATGAGTTTCTCACGAGAAAATTAAGAATCTATTTGGGTTGACGCACTAATGGTTGGAATGAATGAATGAATGAACCAATTGGACTGGAAACATGTCATTTCAAATATCAGCAAAGGTGGCTTCACTTGGCAATGCATTCAAATCAATAACTTGCAAAAATTGGTTTTCTTTGTGCATGCAGTCTTGCTTTCAGAGAAAACTGGCAAGCCAAATGTGTACATCATCGGGTGGTATTTAAGCATACTGCTAGTCCCCTGACAAATCAATAATATCAATCAATATAATGGGGAAAATATTTCAGTAGATTGGCTTGTGGAAAATCAATTTCGACCCCCTGTATCACATTCATACAAACATATATAAAAAGATGCATATAAGTTTACATATAATCACACATCTTAAAAGCTGCTTTTTGTTCAATTTTAGTGAAGTCTATATAGGGTGGGCCAGTGTATAGTGCCTACCATTGCCAGCCACGCACTGGCCAGTGAGTGAAGCCAAGGCAGGAACCAGTGAATGTCTTTCATCGCCTCTGTCCGAGGCGACGACCAGCAGGTGAACAACCCTGGCGAGCACCATGCTACACAGACCCTGGTTCTGTTCTGCAAGCACAAACAAATTAACCTAGCTCTACCCATCTAGCCATACGGCTATACACACTAAAGCTAATACAAACCACACAGTGGAAAGCTACGAGCGTGTAAACATTAAATATGTGATAGAGTAACAAATAAGTTAAAACATTCCTAGAGAAATTTCTACCCTATTGAACAATTTCTTGTCCCAACCAGACCACACATTTAAGGGATGTTTTTGTGTGTGTGTATATGCAGGCAGCTAATACTTTTAACCTACCCTACATTTGTTCTCACTCTCCATTTCTTTATCCCTTACACACATGTAGCTTAATCGCTGTATATAGTGTCATTTGGCTCACCATTGCGTGGGTTGTTGAGGCAAGCAGAGATGGCACTGATGACGGCTCCCCAGAACTGAATGCGGGCTGCATCGAGGGACCAGCTGCCTCCAAGTCCGCACCTCTGCAGGATGCTGATCAAGGTCTGAAGGCAGCCGGAGGTCCTTACCAACATCTGTCCTTTTCCTGAAATACGAATACCTTTTCATATCTTTTCAGTACATGTATTTGTATTTGAATTACATCCGATAAAGATGTAATTTATGTCATCACTATTGAAACTGCATGCTTATTGGAGGGGAGTTGGCTAAATTAGCTAATCCTCATGCCAGCTAGTGGTGTAACGGTTAACCGCGGTTAACCGNATCTTGCGCCTACATTATTTTCTATTCTGCGACATTTTCAATTTCTTGTGTTGCGATCACAATAACTGAGCGCGTCTCGCGGTTCCTCACAAGATCAAAATTCGAAATTTAGATTGTCTCTCAACCCTATCGGGGCACGAATGATTTGGAAACAGTACGTTATTAAATAATGGCGCCACTATAGCTTCAAATTTGGGCTCAACACCTCTACACAATAGCGGTAAATTGTGCAAATTCAGCTACGCTAGCAAATATATGTAAACGAATATCAGTACCACGAAAGTGAGTGATTAGTGGTCATAATAAGCTGAGGAACGTATACACTTGCTTCTTTATTGGTGGCAAATTTTGATGAGAAAAATCGGTTAAAAATGCGGGATCGCTTCTTTATTGGTGGCAAATTTTGATGAGAAAAATCGGTTGAAAATGCGGGAATCGGGTGTGTAACTCTTGTGTTATTATCTACTCTTGATATTATCCATACGTATGCGTCCAGGAATCTGCGTAGGAAACTCCTACAAACCGGAAAAGAGCTGACATTGGCGAAATTGCAAGAGATTGATTGTGCCTATGAAGCTGTAGAGACTCAGTTGGAAGAAATGCGTCCAAATGACACTGTCCATAGAGTAATGGGTAAACCGCAAAGAGATAAACCGATTCAAGGTGACAAGGACTGAGTGTATCAGAAGACACCACAACCATCCCAAGGTGTGTATCTTATAGATGTGAACAAAGCGGACACTACGGCAAAGATGTAACTTGCCCTGGTAAAGACAAGAGGTGTAACAAGTACCAGAAAATTGACCACTTTTCGAAAGTTTGCAAATCCAAGCATGTGAATGCCGTGCATACAGATGTGAGTGAGCAGAATGAGGACAGCGGCGACCGAACAAGGGCATTTAAAACAGGTGACGCAAACACGGGGCGAATGAAAGTACATGTGGGTACACTGACCACTGCACATGTTGGTAGACTCGGGAGCCAGTGTCAACGTCATAGACAAAGAAACGTGGACTGATTTGAAAAGTCACGACGTCATTTGTGTCTCCAGTACTGCCACACCCGCCAAATCCCTTTTTGCATATGGGTGTTAGGAGCCACTGAAAACGATCGAAACATTTACATCTGAAATTTCAATAGGAGAACAAAAGTGTGAAGCGGTGTTGTGATCGACGCCAAGGGTATTCCCTTATTAGGTCTGGAAACGGTGACGTAGCTACAGGTCCTGAAGATACATAGAGACATAAACACGGTTGGTGTCTCAGATATCTCCAACACTCGGAGTTCGCTAATCCCGGAGATGAAGGCAAAACTTGAGACTTTTGAGTTTAAAGATGCATTAGAAAGGGTGGGCGAACTCAAAGGTCACCAGGTAAAGTTGAAAACTGATCCTTCGGTTAAACTGGTTGCTCAGCCTGTACGCCGAACACCATTCGGACTGAGGGAAAGAGTAGAGAAGAAAATAGGGGAACTCGTAGAGGCGGACATAATAGAGCCAGTCGAGGAACCGACAGAGTGGGTCAGTCCTACGGTAATAGTGCCGAAAGCGAACAACGACATAAGAATTTGTGTAGACATGAGACGCGTCAACCAGGCAGTAATGCGTGAACGTCACCCGATACCCACTACTGAAGAGCTGCTACAAGATATGAACAAAAGTAAGGTATTCTCGAAGTTCGATCTGAAATGGGGATATCATCAGTTAGAACTGCACCCAGACTCACGGAACCTTACAACATTTGTGACGCACGTAGGCCTATAGAGGTACCAGCGTTTAATGTTCGGAATTAACGTGGCATCCGAAATATTCCAGAACGAGATCCGCAAGGTGGTGCAGGGAATCCCCAGTGTCGCGAACAAGTCAGACGATATTATCGTGCACACAGAAACTGTAGAGGAACACTATGACAGTGTACGCAAGTTACTCGAGAGACTTAGAAACGCAGGCCTGACCGTGAATTGGCAGAAATGCGAGTTGTTCAAATCAGAGTTGGTATTTGATGGACACAAACTGTCAGACAAGGGAGTAAATCCGACACGGGAGAAAGTAAAAGCGGTCGCGGAAGCACGAGAACCCGCGAACATAAGCGAATTAAGAAGCTTTCTCGGTCTCGTGAACTACAGCGCCAGGTATATACCTAACTTCGCGATGGCTGCCGAACCACTGCGTAGACTGACTCGGAATGGCGAACCATTTGTGTTTGGCGAGGAACAGAGACAGTCATTCCAAGCTCTGAAAACACACTTGAGCAATGCCGAGCCTCTGTGCTACTTTGACGTACATGCAAAGACAAAAGTAATGGCGGACGCCAGCCCATATGGATTGGGAGCTGTCTTAGTGCAAGACCAAGGGGGAGAGCCAATTGTCATTGCATACGCAAGCCGTAGTCTGAGTGCAGTGGAGAGACGCTATTCACAGACAGAGCGAGAAGCTCTGGCCCTTGTATGGGCGTGCGAGAAATTCCATTCATACGTGTATGGTGTGAAATTCGACTTGGTGACAGACCACAAGCCGTTAGAGGTAATCTACTCATCAAAGACAAAACCATGTGCTCGGATCGAGAGATGGGTCCTCCGTCTACAACTGTATGAGTTCCGAGTTGTACACGTGGCCGGAACTAAGATGATAGCAGACCCGCTTTCGCGTCTGTTGAAAACAGATGAGGCACCCGACGCAAACCTGTGGAAAGAGGCGGAAGAATATGTAAGATTCGTCGCAACCGAAGCAACTCCCAGGGCCATGACCACAGGAGAAGCCGAGAACTGACACACGTTCGAAAATGCATCGAGACGGGTGAGTGGGGAAACCCGCCAAATATTTACCTGTGTGTGAGGAACTGTTCACCATTGGTCAAATCCTGATGCGAGGGACCAAAATAGTAAACCCGGTAGAGTTGCGTCAAAAGGTCACTGCCATTGCTCATGAAGGTCATGTGGGGATGTCCGGCACAAAACTACGGCTCTGCACAAAAGTGTGGTGGCCAGGTCTCGACAAGGATGTAGAGAAATTTGTCCGAGCCTGCAGTGGATGTCAGCTAGTGGCTAGACCGACACCACCGGAACCAGTATTGCCAACCGAACTGCCACCCGGAAAGTGGCAAGACTTAGCCATCGACCTACTAGGACCGATGCCGACAGGAGAATATATATTTGTTGACGTAGATTACTACTCCAGATACTATGAAGCGGAGCCCACGACATCAGCGACCGTGAAGCGCATGATCGAGCTGTTAAGTAAGATGTTTGCAAGTCACGGACTACCGTTCACCATCACCAGCGACAACGGACCACAGTTTAGAGCAGAGAAATTCGGTGAATTCTTGTCAGAGAACAACATAATCCATCGAAAGGTCACGCCAGTGTGGGCACAGGCGAATGGTGAAGTGGAACGCCAAAACTGCTCCATGTTGAAAAGCATGAAGATCGCGCATGCTGAAGGCAAAAACTGGCGAACAGAGCTAGTGACATACCTCCGATCTTATCGCAGGACTCCGCACAGCGTTACTGGAAAACCGCCAGGCGACTTGTTTTTCAGCAGAGCAATTCGGATGAAACTTCCAGAACTCTGTCAATTCTTGTCGAACGACGGAGCAATGAGGGACAGACTGGGAGAAGAAGATTGGAGGCAAAATCTACGCCGACACCAGGAGAAACGCTAGGGAGAGCGACATAGCACCGGGTGACACCGTATTGGTCAGGCAGAGGAAAGTCGATAAACTTACCACAGACTTCAGACCCGACCAGTACAGCGTTGTGGAGAAAAAAGGAAACAGCGCTGTGATCGAGTCACCACAAAACGTGATATACAAACGAAACATCACAGAGGTGAAGAAATTCGTCACACCAGATGAGGGCACGCCGTCCCTACCGAAAACGTTGTACCGACTAAGGGCCGACGCGGAACAAAGCCGACCATCCAGGCAACGAAAGGCTCCAGACCGCTATGGAGAGTGGGTGTTTGCTGTGCTGTCCCCCAGTGACATTTGACTGTCCATGTGATAAGTGCTATTGGCCAGTGACAATTAATCCAACCGCAATCACAGCTTTGACTGGTGTCACGGGCAGAATAATCCCTGAGCAAAGCTTAGACTTAGGCAGTCTACCTACAGTCTATGACTATTGTTTACTCAAAATGTTTATAGTATGTATTTCATGCATTCAAGTAACAAATTGTGTGTATTGACATGTTACGTGTCGTGCTACCTAGTCAGAGCATGTTACAGAATGACTAACAAGAAGTTATCTTGTGTTTACGTTTAATTACTTTGTGTTACAAGGTCAGAGTTGCTAAGACTGATCAGAGTAAATTGCGCAGAGACTGTTGTGCTTAAAGTGTACCACGGGCTGCTGTAACAGTTATTATGGACACGTCGTGTGACTGTAAAATCACAGTTTGTCTTATACCGGAACGGTAATTGTGTTTGATTATGCCTCTAAGATCTATATACAGCACATATAGTATTTCTTATCCGAGAAAAGGAGAGATGTAGTATTCTGCTATCAGACGATGACTGCTCTAATTGTTATGTTCAAACAGTTGCATTGTGGGGTCGGGGCTGTGAGAATAAATGCCTGACCAGCGAGCAGTTATTACAGTTGCGTGTTTATATCGCTCCTGGGATTAGGAACATATAACAACTAGACAGAGTGCACTCACGGAGTGCATACCTCCACCAGCGACATACGCCATACGCTGCGGCTTGCTGACTCGCTGGCTGGCTGGCTAATATCGATCGCGCGAACACACAAACACACGAACACACGAGAGCGAAAACATAACCTCCTCCAACTCCGTTGGGCTGAGGTAATTAGTAGCAATTACTAAGCATTCACATTGTGCAAATTACTTCATTTATTGCAATGCAAGCTCTTATCAGCGTATGGGTTATTATTCTCTTCCATAGGTTTGCTTTGCAAGCTACAAGTACATTCTGATGCCCGTGCACTCTCCATGCCACTGGGCCATGCTCGTTGCTAACGTGGATGCCCTCACGTTGGGAGTCCTGGACTCATTGGGGCATGACAACCGTGGGCAAGAGTTCCTAGCAGACTGGCAGTAAGTAGTGTTGATATACTGTGTAAACGTATGCTTGTAGTTTCGTTTCATTGTACAGAGTGATTCCGGTATTTACATGTACCCGTCAGTCCCATAATGCATGGCGTTGTACTAAAGGCATTCGGAGTAAACATGGCGTAAAGATTTCACTCGGCATCTGTGTTTGTCCTGTTATTTGTTGAACCTACACGTTATCAACAAGTAGATTCCTGATAAACAGCGGCATACATACGAAGAGAGATGTGAAATAAGCCGGTTTTGACATTGGTATCCTATTTATTGACACATACGAAATACGTGTTTCCTGGATATCAGTTTATCAAAATGTGAAAACCTCGAATTTCATATTGAGATTCTAAAATGTTAGGTTGAAGAGAAGAACCATTTAATTGATATCTCGCTAAAGGGTGTCCTACAAAAGTATTTTCCCGTGGTATCACATCGTTACCAGTCATTGACCAGTTTTCCTTAATGATCAAGCTTCGCCAACATCTGCCAAATTTTGGTCTCTCGATAACTTTTAGTATATCCGTAAATTCTGTCACAAATATCTTTGTGACATGGATTAACTTCATGTCACATCAATGAAGCGAGCTTAACTGGTGGCCGGACAAGAATCTAGTCAAATTCTTCATCGCCATCTGACTTCCATGCCAAATTTCCAACTAAAAGAGTAATACTAGATGGCACAGTATGTCCAGTGAAATAACCAAAATTCCACTACTGCAGCAAGCTATATTTTCATCCTATAAAAACCAAAACACTGATAAAGTTGTGGTTGGAGGTACACGAGGTACTATATATATCTATATCCTACATATCAGATGCGTACGGAGGGTAAGCCAGTGACCGACAAATAATAGAGAGAAGCAACATGCAGCGGATGTGTGAACCTGGAGATAGCATCGTGGTAGACAAGGGTTTCAACATCCAGGACTTAT